TCTCTTTCTCCCTCCCTTCTTCTCTCTCTAATAATTAAAAAAATTCAAATGATATAGGTGTGCAGTTTTGTATGTCTTAGCTCATTGGTCAAAAGATGATACCAAGAACCTCTTTATAACAGTTTGCTCAGACAGTAGGAACACAGTGCGGGAGGCTTGGCAGCCCAGCCTATGGCTTTTCCATGAAACATAGTTTGCATGAGAAGCCTCTGTATAAACAGTGGCTCCTAGTCTGTGTTATGCTTTTGAGCCCAGTTAACCACAAGAAGTCCTTGGTAGGTATATTCCTTCTGGAGTTCAGCAAATTGTTGGGAGACTCAAGTATGGCCAAGGTTGGCTCTTGGGGCACCTGGGTGTCACTCTATAGGAGCTGGACAGAGCAGTTAGCCCTCTGGGATTTCTCCTAGTGAATTCATAGACTCACAGTCACAGAACTTAATCAACAAGGTAGGATGCTGATATGAATTTATTCTGGATGAAAAAATAGATCCACTGTGGCAGGGGTTAAAACTCAGAGTCTCCCAGACCTGCAGGTAATGCCAGTGAGTGGCAGGGCTCTGGGGACTGCAGGGGATAGCCAGGCCACAGCTGAAAGGCTGGAAGCCTCTGGGCTCCAGAGGGTCACATCATAGGAATGGGTTCAGAGTTGCCAGATCCTCTCAGTTTTCAGACAGGCTGGAAATTCAGATCTTGTGAAATTTCCTGAGTTTTGTGAAGTCACCTTGTATCTTGGTGGAATCTTAGCTAAACTTTCTCCTCCTTATCATCGTCTTGGAAGGCACCAGGTAGGCCTGCCATATGGACCCTTTCTGCTCTGCACCTGTCACCCCAATTGATCTGTGATGGTCAAAGAGGAAATGGAATGATTACAAGATGTACCTAAACTGGGAAATTGAGGCACACTAGGGCAGGAGTCAGATCCTGCATCCAAGATGATCCCTGAGGCCGTTTAAAAAATATATTTTACTGGTGATGCTATTACAGGTGTCCCAATTTTTTGCCTTTTGCCCCCCTCCACCTGGCACCCCCTATTCCTTCTAGCATTCCCCCTAGTTCAAGTCCATGGGTCATACATAGAAGTTCTTTGGCTACTCTACTTCCTATAGTGTTCTTAATAACCTCCAGTCTATTCTATATCTACCAATTTGTACTTCTTAATCCCTGCACCTTTTCCTCCATTCTCCCCCTTCCCTTGCCCAATTGATAACCCTCCAGATGATCTCCATATTTATGATTATGTTTCTATTCTGCTTGTTTGCTTAGTTTGTTTTTGAGATTCAATTATTCATAGTTGTGAATTTATTGCCATTTTAATATTCATAGTTTTGATCTTTTTCTAAGTAAGTCCCTTTAACGTTTCATATAATAATGGCTTGGCAATGATGAACTCCTTTTACTTTACCTTGTCTGGGAAGGACTTTATCTACCCTTTAATTCTAAATGAAAGCTTTGCTGGATAGAGTAATCCAGGTTGTAGGTCTTTGCTTTTCATCACTTTGAATACTTCTTGACAGTCCCTTTTAGCCTATAAAGTTTCTTTTGAGAAATCAGCTGACAGTCTTATGGGAATTCCTTTGTAGGTAACTATCTGCTTGTCTCTTGCTGCTTTTAAGATTCTCTCTTTATCTTTAACCTGTGGCATTTTAATTATGATGTGTTTCGGTGTGGTCCTCTTTGTGTGCATCTTGTTTGGGACTCTGTGCTTCCTGGACTTGTATGCCTATTTCCTTCACCAAATCAGAGAAGTATTCTTTCATTATTTTTTCAAACAAATTTTCAATTTCTTGGTCTTTCTCTTCTCCTTCTGGCACCCCTATAATTCAACTGTTGGTGTACTTGGAGTTGCCCCAGAGGCTCCTTAGCCTATATGTGATTTTTTTGACTCTTGTTGCTTTTCTGATTGAATGCTTTTTTCTTACTTATGTTCCAAATCATTGATTTGATTCTTGGCTTCACCCACCCCACTGTTGGTTCCCTGTAAATTTTTCTTTGTTCCACATAGTGCAACCTTCATTTCTGCCTGGGTCTTTTTTGTGCTGTTGAAATACCCAGTGAGTTCCTTGAGCATCCTAATAACCAGTGTTTTGAACTCTGCATCTGATTGCTTATCTCCATTTCATTTAGTTCTTTTTTTTTTTTGAGGTTTATTTTGTTCTTTCATTTGGGCCATATTTCTTTGTGTTCTCATTTTGGCAGCTTCCCTGTGCCTGTTTCTATGTATTAGGTAGAGCTCTTTTGACTCCCTGCCTTAGCAGTGTGGCCTATTGTAGGAAAGTACACCAGTAAGTTGTATGGGGCAGAGCCTTAGGGAATTGCCAGGGCAGGGCAACCCTTATGAACCAGGTTGATGGAGTCTCAGACAGTGTTGTTGCTCTGTGGTTCTGTGTAGGGGAGGGCTCAGAAAGGGGCAGTGCTGCTGCCTGGCTTCTGGAGTTTTGTCCAGGAGGAAGCTGTCCCCCAGCACTTGCCAGACACTTCAGTTTCTCCCCATATGCCACTGATGCTGTTCCAGTTGCTGCGCCAGTGCTGCAGCCTGGAAGGAGTGAGTCTGTGTAAGTTCTAAGTCTACTGTGGGCACTTTAAGAGGAGATGCCTGAGAATCTCACAGTTTCCTCCGTTGCCCCAACCCCCAACTTGTTTTCACGGATAGAAGTTATGAGGACTGATCTTTTTGTCACTGAAACCCTGGGCTGGGTGATCTGGTGTGGGGCAAGGATACTTCGCTCCCCAGGTATTCTTCCTGATTTTTCTACTGCACATGGGTGTGGCACCTCCTCTTCCATGTCTCTGTGTCTCCGCATCTCTGCCCCTCCTACTCTTCTGGATGAATGTAACTTCTTTAATTCTTTAGTTGTTGGACTTCCATACAGCCCGATTTTCTGACAATTCTCCCTGGGGTCTTTCTTAAAATTTTATTTTATTTTTATTTTAATTGTTGTTCAAGTACAGTTTTCTGCCTTTTACCCCCATTCCAGCCCACCCCCGCAGCCCTCTCCACCTCCCTGTGGTCTTGAGTGAGCTCCTCTGCTAGGCTTTATCTGCATGTCCTAGTGTGCAAAACCCTTTCATTCTACACATTGAATGCCTGCTGTGTACTGGGCTTAGATTGGGACTGCACATTCAAAAGTGAAAATCTGATGGATGCTGTGGAAAATTATTATAATTAACTTTTCAACAAAACAAAACAAAACTAAATGGTGCTGTAATCAGTCTTTTTTTTTCTCTCACTGTGGGGTAAAGGACCCTGAAATGGTCTTCTGGTAGCACATGGGAAATACAGGGATTGACAGGTGAGTGGGCAGTTGGGGAGCATGCACAGGTCTCTCATGCTCACATTGCCTGGTCTGGTTCTGTGTCCCAGGCTGTGAGCTCAGTGACTAGGCTGGCCTTTCTGACCCTGGTTTATCCAGTGCCTTCTGTGGTGCCAGCATGAACAGGCATGTAGATGTCCCCCAGAAAAGTGAATAATGTGCAGCAATGTCTAGTTTTAATAGAAAGTATTTTAGACAAACAGCTGTAGGAAAATGTACACTATAATCAAAGCATTTAAAAATGAAAGTTAAGCTCATGGGGACAAATGGAATTTGTAAAAGGACCTGACATTGTGATGACACCATTATTGGGGTTGTGAGTTTTTAGATTGATTGTGCAATGATCTAGCAGGAGTTGAGAGGTTTCCTTCAGTTTGCCAGGCCTTGTTTGGTGCCATGCCCTGCTGTGTTGGCTGGGGTGGACTGAGGGCAGGCCTGGCAGTGTTCCTCAGACGACTGTCTGTGGGGTGTCAGACTGCCTGGGAAGTCGTGCTTGTGGGAAGGAGCCTGTGCTCACAGTACTCAGAGCAGCTGCCCTGTGTGCTCATTGTCACGGTGTCCTCATCACCTCCGACCACACTGCAGGGCTGGGCATGAACTCTAGATGCTTTAAGCACTAAAAAGATTATGGTGCCCTTTAAAAATCACAAATACAGATAGTTACTAAAGTATCCAATTGTATTTAAGAAAGTGTTTATCAAGTATAAAAATTAAGACAAATTGCTGCTTTCCTTCTCACTTTGAGTGATGGGTGGATGTCCTCACTTCACTGGTGCCTGAGGCACAAGTGTGTCTTGCCTGTTTGTTAATGTAGCACTGTGTGTACCTGTATGTATATGCCTGTGTATGTGTGCGTGCATACGAGCATGTGTGCATATATGCATATATGTGAAATGCTCTTGAGAAATCAACAAAAAGGTCAGAGGTATTCAAAGACAGGATGCTGCCCCATCTAGGACTGTAGAGCATCTGCCTGCCTGGGGAAAAGGGCTGACCTCCCACAGGCCGAGGGATGCTGTAAGATTGGTCCAAGGGTGTTGCCTGTGAGGACAGTCCCACACCATGTTATAGACTGCTCCAAGGAAGGCCCCGATTCACACTGACACAATAGCCTTAGACCAAAATTTAGCAGTGTTTATGGGGCACAGGATTCAGGGTGGGATGTGGAGAGCACCTTCCCTGTGGGGAGCACTGGGGAGCCATAAGTGGGCTGACAGCAATGGCCTCACTGTGAGTCTGACAGGAGCACCAGCATTAGTGTCGCCTCCTTGTAGAGAATGTCCTTTTGAAATATGTTCTAGGATGTTGCTCCAGTCCTATTAATTATGTCATAAACTTAGTAAAGCTGAATAATTAATGATCAAGGGACACTTGGAACTGTGAAATGCCATGTAAATGTTAAGGAATAAAAATCACTCTGTGTGTTAAATAGATATGCTGTTTTAAAAATATTTCATGTGGGAAGGTTAATTTCCAGAGGAGCTGAAAAGCTTTCTGTTTTACTGTCTTCAGGAACTTTTTATATTTTATTGTCTTATCCACAGTTTCAGAGACTTTTGTAAACTGTATTCTGAGGTGTTAGAATGGCTTCTGTACAAATGGCTGCTTGTCCTTTTAGCTCTGGGAATGAAGTTGCCTATTGGCTTTGGGTTAAACTGTGTCTACTTGATTCTCTCTAGCTGGAGGTAGTTTGGACCCAAAGAGAAGGAAGAGGTCAAGATCACTGATTACCAAATGCAGAGCCTTCAGCTGATGCCTAACCTGGCCACAACCTTGGCCCTGATCTTCACCAGAAGGTGAGATGGCCTTTGGGGCTTACTTTCTCAAGGTGGGTTAAGGCTCTGGTACTACTAGGAGTGAGAAGAAAGGCTTCATTCTCTTTCATGCTTCATTTCCTCACTGTGAGCATGAAAGAAGTTAATATGGTCCCAAGGTTAAAAGTGGTGTTCACACCTTGACAGTCTGCATATCCAGATGAATGGGATCCTCAGAGAATTTGAGGAGGCATTTCTCCTGAGTTTCTGAGAGAAACAGACTCAAAGACTTCCAATTTCCCACCCCTGATAAAGGCTCTAATTTACAGTAAAGTTTTCAAAAATAGGTCAAGGTGTGTGAATATGTTGGGAGCAGGGGAGGAGCCAGGCTGCAATGAAACAGCAGTAATAGTGCTGTAAATTCACACTGAACCTCAGTTTTACACAGGCTTTCATTCATTCCTCCTCACAGACCCAGGAGATTGCCTGGCAATTATGGGTCATCTCATTCTAAAGATCAGAAAATTGGGATTTGCCAATTCTGGTTCTGACACAGAGCTCCTGAAACCCTTTGGGTTTTCTGGGTGATAGGAGCATCTTATTTTCCAATGAGGAGGGCTCCTAGATGAGGGCTGGCCACCAGAAGGATAAAGCCATGATTAGAAACTTGGAATTTTCAGCTCCCCACCCAATTCTGCAGAGAGGGATAGGAGCTGGAAATGGAGTTAATGATGGATCATGCCTATATGATAAAGTTTCCATAAAACTCCAAACATACAGGGTTCAGAGAGCTTTCCTCAGGGTTGGTGAACATGAGGAGGTGTAGGAAGAGTGGAGCCCAGAGTGGGTGTAGAAGATTCATGCCCCTTCTCACATGCCTCACTCTGTGCCTCTCTTCCCTCTAGATGTTTATCTGTGTCCTTTATCCCATCCTGTTATACATAAATTGGACTTCTATAATAGATTGGGAGGGCCACAGTAGAATGTGCCCTCCCACACATACAGCACCACAACTCAGGGAATAGGTTGCCCCACCCTGGTGAATACCTAAGGCTCTGCCTCTTACAATGTAACAGGTGTGCTGAGGCAAAGAAATATGGGCCAAATGAAAGAACAGACCAAAACTCCAAAAATAGAAGAAAAAAAACCCTCCAAAAATAGAACTAAGTGATGAAAAGATAGCCAGCCTATCAGATGCAGAGCTCAAAACACTGGTAATAAGGATGCTCACAGAAATGGTTGAATATGGTTGCAAAATAGAGGAATAAGTTAAGGCTATGAAAAGTGAAATAAAGAAAAATATACAGGGAACCAACAGTGACAGGAAGGAAACCAGGACTCAAATCAATGGTTTGGAGCAGAAGGAAGAAATAAACATTCAACCAGAACAGAATGAAGAAACAAGAATTCAAAAAAAATGAGAGGCCTAGCAACCTCTGGGGCAACTTTAAGCACTCTAACATTCCAAATCATAGGGGTGCCAGGAGGAGAAGAACAAAAGAAATAAATTAAAAACTTACTTAAAAATATGAAAGAGAACTTCTCCAGGAAGCTCAGAGAGCCCTGAAGAAGTTGGACCCAAGGAAGCACACACCAAGGGACATCATAATTACATTAGCCAAGATTAAAAATAAGGAGAGAATCTTAAAGCAGCAAGAGAAAAGGAGACAGTTACCTGCAAAGGAGTTCCCATAAGACTGTCAGCTGATTTCTCAAAAGAGACCTTGCAGGCAAAAAGGGACTGGAAAAAAGTATTCCAAGTCATGAAAGGCAAGGACCTCCATCCAAGATTACTCTGTCCAGAAAAGCTATCATCTAGATTGGGAGAGCAGATAAAGTACTTCCCAGATAAGGTCAAGTTAAAGGAGTTCATCATCACCAAGCTCTTATTTTATGAAATGTTAAGGGAACTTATCTAAGACAAAAAAGATGATCAAAACTACGAACAGTAATATGATAACAAACTCACAACTATCAACAACTGAACCTGAGACAAAAACAAAAACGAACTAAGCAAACAACTAGAACAGGAACAAAATCACAGAAATGGAGATCACATGGAAGGTTACTAGTGGGGAGGGAGCGGGGATAGGATGGGGGAAAAGGTACAGGGAATAAGAAGCATAAATGGTAGATGCAAAATAGACAGGGGGGAGTCAAGAATAGGAAATACAGAGGCCAAAGAATGTATATGTACAATCCATGGACGTGAACTAAGGGAGAGGGGGAATGCTAGTAGGAGGGGTGTTTCAGGGCAGTGGGGGCTAAAGGGGAGAAAAGATTGGGACAACTGTAATAGCATAATCAAAAAATATACTTAAATTTAAGAAAATTTTAAAAAATTAAAGACGGGGATGTTAATAATAGTTTAGAAAATGGAGAGGTCAAATAACTTCTATGCATGAGCCATGGACATGAACTAAGGGGTGGTGGATTTCTGGAGAGAAGGGGGATACTGGGTGGAAGGGGGCAAATTCAGAACAACTGGGACAACTGTAATAGCATAATCAATAAAAAGCTTTTTAAAAAATTAAAAGAGAAGTAGAATGTGTGTGTGCTTCAAAGGACAAGAAACATGTAACAGACAACCAGGAAAATTAATAGACAACCCACGCAATGGGAGAAAATACTTACAAATTATATACTGGATAAGGGATTTGTATCTGTAATATATAAAAATTATTGCAATTCAACAATAAGATGACTAATAACCCAATTGAAAAATGGGCAAGATCTGAATAGATATTTCTTCAAAGAAGATATACAGATGGCCAATAAACACATACAAAAAAACTAAAAGTCATTATTCATCAGGGAAATTCAAATCAAAACAATAATGATATACCACTCACATCCACTCAGACAGCTAGAATAAAAACAGACAGATACTAATAGAATGTGCTATTGGGGATATGATGAAGTGGCACCTTTGCACATTGCTGGTGGAATGTAAAATGGTCCACCCACTTTGGGAGATAGTTTTCAGTTCTTCAAATGTTAAACATGAAATTACCATAACCCAGCAATTCTCCTCCTAGTTATACATACAAGAGAAATGAAAGTGTGTATGCAAAATCTTGTACATGAATGTTCACAGCAACATTTATAATACCTAAAATGTGGAAATAAGCCAAATGTCCATCACCTAATAAATGGGTAAACAAATGTGTTATATCTACACAATGGATTATTATTCATCAATGAAGAGGAGTGAAGTACTGGTATGTGCTACAGCAGGAATGGACCTGGAAAACATTATGCTAGGTGAAAGAAGCTAACAACAAGAATCATATTGTATAATATGATTCCACTGATATGAAATTTCCAAAATAGTCTGGTTTGGAGGGACAGAAAGTAGATGGGTTGTCAGAGACTAGTGGGTAAAGGAGAGAGTGAGGAGTGACTTCTGATGGGTATGGAGTTTCTTTATGGAATGATGAAGTGCTCTAAAATTAGATGCTGATGAACTCTCAGTTCTATAAATATTTTTATTTGAATGGAATTGCTTTGAAAATTTATTTTCCAATCATTTGTTAATGTCATGTGAAATGTAACTGATTTTTAAATATTGTCCTTTTATTCTGTATTCTCACTAAATTCACTCATTAGATCTAATTGTTTTTTTATAGACTCTAGGATTTTCTATATTCACAGTCAGATCACATGCACATAGTTTTACTTTTTCCTTGTCAATATTTATGACTTTCTTCTTTTCCTTGCCTTGTTGGACTGGCTAAAACCTCCACTACAATACTGAATGGCGGTGGTAAGAGTAGACAGCCTTTTCTTTCTGATTTTAGAGGAAAGTCATTTAGCATTTTCCCATTTGGTGTGAATACTCACTGCAGGATGTTGTGGGTGTCCTTTCTTACACTGAGGAAGTTTTCTTCTAGTTAACTAAACATTTTTATCATAAATGTTGAATTTTGACTAAAGTCTTCCCTCTTTTATTTGTCCTATTTATGTAGTTGCTATGATTGGTCTGAATTTGGCTATTGGAAGCTGTTTTATGTTGACTCCCATATCTTCTTTTTTCTGTTAATCCTTTTGCTCAGCTCCTGCTAAATCTGCCCCCCCCCCCATCTGAAACCATGAATAAACTTCCTTAGCTGTGGACAAGGCTGCTTTGTAATCTTAATATTTATAAGACTATTATTTTTACCTCTCTTCTTTTATTAATGATATGTCAGAAAACACCTAGCATGAAGGCGCATGAAGGTTTGTTAACACTTAATTGCTATGCCATTTCCTATTGTTCTCACACCAGAGTTAGGCCACCAATTTCTTATGGGAAACTCAAGGTTCGTCCCTGTTTTTCCACAAATAGTGTAGTGACCACACGGCCTGGATATTCTCATAAAGTATCAATTAAGGAAATTCTGTTAACATACCATGGTTCATTAGTAGTCTGGCAAAAGAAGGTCACATAGATACTATATAAGCTGGACTACGAAGGAGATCACACACAGGTATGGAGGGTCACACCTTACAGAGCAGTTATTTCTGGGGCAGAGGTGTCAAATGCCTGGCCTGTGTGTCTGCGCTGCCACTTTTCACTCCCTGTGCATAGCAGACATCAATGAGTGATCACAGTTCTTTTTCCCACTGAGCTCACTCCTATATCCTTTTGAAGTGCTCATTCTTTTTTTAGCACTTCTTTAATTTATGACCACATAAGATGCTCCAGGGTCATCTATCCTTCCCTCTTCCTGCCCAGCCCCAGAATTTCTGGCTCCTTTTATTGGAGAATGATGTTTAGAGCCAGAGGTCTGGGTGCTGTATGTGCTGGCTACTACTGCAGGGTCACTGTTCTAGTCCCTCTCAGAGGACATGGCTGGGAAACGTCTGTGTCTATTGGTATATGTAGTAAAATTAAAAAAAAATTGGTTTACACTGATACGTGTGACCCCAGTCCAGCAGCACAGGATTTACACCAGTGTTTTTCCCCTTCTGTATTTGTAACTTATTTCTCTGACTGAGAAATCTGACTCCTACTATTTATAGTACATTTTCTTTTTCTTTTTTGTTTTTTCTTGTTTCCA